GACTTGAGTATCATTTGTTGAATAGACTATCTTTTATACACTAAATTACTTTTGTATATTTGTTGAGAATCCTTACAAATACCACAGTCTTAATTACAATGGTATTATAATAAATTTTCAAGTAAGGTCTTTCAACTTTGGTTTTCTTCATAAAATTATTTTCCCAATTCTATTTTATTTATAGCTCCAGACAAATTTTGTAGTCAACTTGGCATTTTCTTTAATGAAAACTGCTGAGATTTTGACTGGGGTAGAATTGAATCTATAGAATAAAAATCAGGAAGACAGTGCTAAATCCCATTATAAAGGACTACAGTGGGGCCTTGACTTACGAGTGTCCTGACTAACGAGTTTTTCGAGATACAAGCCATCTCTCGGCCAATTTTTTGCTTTGAGTTGCGAGCTAAAATTCGGGTTACGAGCCAGCTTCAGATACCCCACCACTAGTTGGTGCAGTGAACGTCACAGTGAACGCCACAACATCAGCCCAGCATCATGTGTCTCATCGTTCACTTTTTGATTTGACATACGAGTAATTTGAGTTATGAGCTCGGTCACGGAACGAATTCAACTCGTAAGTCAAGGCCCCGCTGTACTGAGGAACCAGAGGGGCAGCAAGCCGGATGGGGTGGATGAAGAGTTTCTGAGACACAGTGCTGTGTCCTGCAGGACTGTTTCCATCCCTGGTCGTCTCATGCAGGGCCCTCGGGATGAAGCCCAGATGCCCTCCTGGGTCTGCAGGGGCTGGGTGCCCAGGCTCTCCCCATCCCACTCCATCACTGCCTGCCTTCTTGGTAGGTCCGCCTGGTCCCTCTGCACTGGGGGCCCCAATGTCTGTGGAATGACTGATGTCCGCCCGCCCAGAAGCAACCCCCCGACAGTGGCGGCAGCGAGCAGTACCTGCGAGGACTGGTAGATCTCCAGGCGCATCCTTTTGGCTGCTTTTCTCGTCTCGCTCTCACAGGCAGCTGCCAGGATGTTCTCGGCCATGGCCGAGGTCAGGTGGGGAGGTGTGGGTCTGGTCTGCAGGCAGAATGGGAACAGGGCACTGTTGGGCCCACGCAAAGACCCTGCCCTAGAGGTGTTGGTGGAGGGCTGGGGTCAGGCTTCAGGGCCGTTATCTATGGAGTGGGGCCTCTTTAGGGACCTCAGCTCCCCACGCTGTGAAACGGGGATCATGGTGCAGCTCCTGGGACATTGGGAGGATGATGGGTAAAGTGCCTGGCCAAGGGGACGCCCAGCCATCCCGGAGGGTAGCTGGAGGTGGGGGGGCTGGGCTGGGAGGGCTCACCATCTCCATGCCGTTCTTCTTCATGCGCCGGCAGGACTTGAGGTACGTGCGAATGCGCTTGCGGGCCCGCTCTTGGAACTCGGGGAACTGCCGGCTGCAGGATTCGATGATGGCCTGGATCTTCTCCTTGGGCTGCTTGGAGATGGGCACCATGCGGTCCAGGTTCTCGTCCACAAAGAGACGCACAAACATCTGTGGGAGAGACAGGCGGTGGGGAGGGCTGGCCCTGGCTGCGGCCCCGCCCGCCGGACCGACCCGGTGCTCACGTTGAAGGCCTTGAGGCGCTCAGGGTCCATGCCCTCGGAGTCATTCATCTTGTCATTGTCCTCGTGGTCATCGTGGTCGTCGTCGTCGTCGTCTGCTGTGGGAGCTCGGCCCACAGTCAGGTCCTCGGGGCAGCCACTGACCTCGGTCTTGATGGAATCGTAGCTCCCTGAGCTGTAGGGGGGGGACTGAGAGAGGAGGGGTCAGTCAGGCAGGCCCTCCATGGTCCCCGACAGGCCTCGGTGAGCTTAGGAACTGGGTACCAACACACCCCCTGCCTCGCGAGCCAAAGCTGTGAGGCCCTGAGCAAGTCACCCTCCCCTTCTCCCGTGGAATGGGGACAGCCACACTGCCCCCTCCTGGCAGCTGCAGGGAGGACTGCCTACAACAGTTCACTTGAGGCCTGGCGTGGGGGGGGGGGGGGGGGGAGGGGACTGGGTGGAGGGTGTTAGTGGTTTACTCAGCAAGAGTCCACACCATGACCGGCCACGTCGTGTGAGGGAAAGGCAGACACAGAGAGGGTTCCCACCAACAGCCAGCCTCTTCCGGGTGTGCCAGATCTGTTCTGCTTTGGGGTTTTCTCCCCAACCCCAAGGGGCTGCAACCCTGAGGTGATAACCGAGCTGTCACAAAAGCAGCCGTGTGCTGTCTGCTGGGGAGGAGGAACAGATGGGGTGGGAGAGGGAACCAGCCAAGGCGACAGGTCCATTAGGCAAAGTGCATTCCCAGAGCTCCCGGCGGGGGTCCTCCTGTCTGCCACCCGCCCCCACTTCTGCGAGGAAGACACCGAGAGCCAGAGAGCCGAGCCGCTGAGAGGATAAAAGGGGGAAGGCAACCAGGTGTCGCACACGGGGAGGGGCGTTCACCAGAACACAGCACCACCCCCGTCGGGAACGCACTCCCCTCTCCTCCCAGCTTCCCACTGTGTCACCCTCTGCAGCTCAGGGCCCACCTGAGGACACTGTCGTTGCCTTTTAGGAAGTTTGCATCTCTGGCGAGTCCTGACCTCACTGACTGGTATCCTGACTAGCGCTGTCCCTGCCCTCCAGGAAGTGGGCACCTAGCAGGTCGTTGGGCCCAGGAAACAAACAGCTACAGGTCAGACCCTGCGATGTGGCCACAGGGTGGTCTGGCAGGGGTCACAGCTCTTGCTGACAGATGAAGAAAACGGACACCACCAGGCCTCCCCGGAACCGCGGGCCTTGTGCCCATCTCTTGATCTGTACATAGACTTGAAAGGGGACAGCAACACCCAGGTCCCCGGGCCTGCCACTGGCTCATGCCAGGCTTGCAATGGAGTCAAAGGACTTGTGCAAGTCACGTCCCAAACTGCTCCTTAGCCAATCCTCTGGCAGGGTTAGAGGAGGCAGGAAACTTCAGATACGAGCTGTTGGTGGCACTCATGCTGTCATCTTACTCCCTGGGCCCATACCTGTGGCCTGAGGCTTGGGGACAAACTCTCCCTCTCCAGCTCTGCTCACCGGGGACAGCAGCTGTGCCTTTCCCGTAGTCCCAGTCAAAGAGGCCAGACACAGCACCAGTGGGCAGTATCCTGGCAGGTGTGGCTCGGTTGGTTGGGTGTTGTCAAGGGTGGCGTGTTCAATTCCTAGTCAGGGCACATACCCGGGTTGTGGGCTCAATCCCCGGTAGGGGTTGTGCAAGAGGCAGCAGATCAATGTCTCACTCTCACATCGATGTCTCTCTCCCTTCCTCTCTAAAAATAAAAAAATCTTTAAAAAAACAAACAAAAGAAACCCAACTGGTGTGGCTCAGTGGTTGAGTGTCTTCCATGAACCAGGAGGTAACGGTTCGATTCCCAATTGGGGCACATACCCGGGTTGTGGGCTCAGTCCCCACCAGGGGCGTGCAGGATGTTTCTCTCCCTTCCTCTTAGAAATCAATTTTTAAAAAAGTACGGGGGGAGTACCAGATGGTGGGAGCACCTGCCCTGCCCACCTTGCAGCCTGGCCTATTGAGTTTCCCACTGCTACACCCCTTGGCCACACACAAAGACCTCACCCTTTTCCCGTACCGTCTGTAACACCGGGGAGGGGCCTGCAGAGTAGCTGGAAACGTGAGGCCTTGGGACTCTGCTGGAGGTGGCACTTGTGCTGTTATTCAAAACAGACTCTGTCTTGTGGGTGGAAGGGGACACATCACCCACCACTCCTCTAAGATGGGGACACAGGCTCAGAGAAATGAGGGCCTTGCTGGGGTCACACAGTGGGGTCCCCCATACCAGAGCCTCCTCAGAAAGGCACCCTGGCCACCACCCTGACTTGGCATCAACTCTGGGCACAGACAATTTCACTTTAGCCTGGCACTCCCTGGGGTGTCCAGGCTGAGGCGGGCCCACAGCCCCACACACCTCAGGGGTGGTCTTCACCCCGTACTTGACACGGCTCCGCAGTCCATCTGTGCCGCAGCTGTCCGAGGGGTAGGAGGGCGTGCCGAGGGACGTGCCTGGCGGGAGCTTATCACACAGGTTGATGGGTTGATCCTCAGCTGCGGCCGTGAAGTCCATGGGGGCCACAGCGCCGTTGCCATTCATCTCGGGGAAGGCAGGGTCGCCCTGCGTGCTGCTCGAAGTGGATGGGTTCAAGGTGGAGGAGCCATTGCCGCTGCCACTCTCGGAGGAGGAGTCGTCTGAAACCAGAGGCCTGGGTGTGAGGCTCCACCGCAGTACCTACTATCCCTTAAGACCCTTCCCCCACAGGGTACCATGGGCACAACAGCCACAGGGAGGACTTGCCCTGTGCCAAGCATCCCTGGGCAGGAAGTGAGCCCTCCTGTCCCTTTAGATATTCCAAGAGGCTAACCTGGCCAGAGGTGGGGGCAGGCTCCCTCTACCATGAACTTTAAACACCACATCGAGGCTCACAGAAGGCCCAGCTTCAAGGGCTTGGGAGTGAGTGGCTACGACCTCCAGTCTGACTGGTGTGCTGCCTACCAGAGGTCCTTGGTCACCCCAGACGCTGCTTGGGTCTGGTCAGTGTCGCCCCCCCCCCTTTTCCCAGCTCACCATAACCTTTGCCCTTCACACCCTTTCCCCACAGGACCTCCTCCTTACAGCAGGCCCTTGAATTTTTCCTTCCATTGTAACCTCCCAGCTCCCTCCTGCAAGCAGGCCCAGCGCAATCCTGGCTGCCTAGGCACACAGACGCAGGGGCCCCCAGATCTGCCCTCTGTCCATGGTGCAGTGACCTTGGACACGGAGACAGTGCTGCAGGGTACAGGGTCTGCATGCCCTGCACCTCAGTGGGCCATGCCAGCTTTCATGAGGTGCCAGCCTAACAAAGCTCTGTCGAGGGCGCCCCCTGCTGCGGAGAGACAGAATTGCCCATCCCGGAGAACACACTTGAACTGGTGGGCGAGACATTTTCAGATAGACTCCAGGCCCCTCTCCCACGCCCAGCCCAGCCTCCTGCTGATCTGCTGATACAGCAGAGGCCGGTAGTACTAACTCGAACTCCCAGGTCAGTGTCAGGTGAGTACCATGTGGTTCTCGGTGGTGCCCGTGCGACTCTGCACCCGCATCCAGAACGGGTGGGGGAGGGGCGGCCACAGGGAACCCTGGCTGCATCCCAGGCCACCCCTTCTCTAAGGCCAGGGTCGCGCAGCGCAGGACCCCACCCCCACCCTTCCAGCCGGCAGATTATGAAGATTTAGTCTTCAGTGCTGGGCGCACCAGCGCCTCCAGAGCGTCCCCATGGCGACTGAGTGGCTCTAGAGCCTCAACCAATCACTGGCCTCCCTGCTGCCCGGGGGCGGGGCCGGACTGCCAGTCAAGCAGCCGGGTCCCTGGGCAGAGGGGGGATGGGACAGGCCTAGGGCCAGCGGCACTCCTCCCCCTCAGCGGCCGCAGGTCCCTGGGCCAGGCTGCCGGCCTCCTCCGTGCAGCCACCGCTCCCTCCATCCTCCTACAGGGCAGCTCCAGTCTGCGCAAAGCTGCCGCACTGCTACCCCCTCCCTCAGCCACACTCCATAGCCCCCAGGCCTTGGGTCCTGTTACCCTGACCTCGCGGCCCATCCCCTCTCCTCCATCACAATGGGCCTGGCTTTCTTCTGGTAGTTAATCTCCAGGACCGATCCAGACCAGCAGTATTTACTGAGCATCTACTGCAGGCTGGCCCTGGCCCTGCTGGGAAACAAAGTAGGGACTACAACCAAGGTGCAGGCCCTCCTGGGGGCAGATGTGAGTCACCGAACCACCGAACCACCGAGCACCCTCCGACCCCAGCTCCCCTCTATCATATGGCCCCACCCCCACTGTTTCCCAGCACTGGCCTCATCATCACTGCCCTGTTCAATAACCTCCCTGCTCCCCACAGCCTGCCCAGGGTGTTCTCGGTCTCATGGCCGCTGCAGTCTCTCCCCAGCCCAGGTCCCACTCTACTGGCCACCACTGGACCTACATTTCCAGACCTTTGCTTTGGGCACTGCTGCCTGCCTGCCATGTTGCTTCCAGCTCAGTAAATGTCAGTCAACCTTCAGGCCTGGCTCAAAGCCACCCTCCTTCTCCCTCTATTCCTAGGAAGGAGGTGCTCAAGCCCTGGCCATGCCTCCTTCACATGGCCCAGGATTAGTCCTGGGAGCTGCCCTCCCCCCACCAGGGCAGGGCCCGTTGCTGGAGAGGCCCCCACACCCGAGGGTCCGAATCCTCCGCCAGGCAAGGATGGACACTCACACGGGCTGGTCCACTGAGCTCCCGCCACTCCACACCCTGGCACCACCCCAACAAGCCACTTGTTTGACCCTGGAGGTAGCATCTTCCTCCTCCTGAAGGAGGATGTAGCTAGAAGGGTCCTCAGGTGCCACATCTGGCCCTCAGCGAGCGGTCACTGCACTCAGCATGGGGACGAGGCCCAGCCACCCCTTCTCCTCTGCAGGGCCACACCCCACAGGCAACATCCCGACCAGGTTTTCTCCGGGAGTGCGGACCCCCCCTGTTCTGTGCTTCCCCAGGCTAGAGTGAGCAGGAGACTCATGGGCTGGGAGGACACACGGGCAGGTACTCCCAGCTCAGAAGCCCAGGGTGGTGGCCCAGACCAGAGGTCCTCAAACTTTTTAAACAGGGGGCCAGTTCCCTGTCCCTCAGACATTCCACACATGCGCACTGCGGGCCCGGGACGAGTCGGCTGCTAAGCAGGACAGGCGGCGGCGGCAAAAACACCCGGCGGGTCGTCGTATAAATGTTTTCGGCGGGCCGCCTGTGGCCCGCGGGCCGTAGTTTGAGGACCCCTGGCCCAGACTCTTGAGCTGCCAGTGTCCTTCTCCCACGGCTGTGCACCTGGGCTGTCCAGCCAAGGAACCACAGGTGGTGGCACCCCCTCCCACTACTCAGATGCCACCCCAGTTTGGGAAGCGAAGTGGCTGGGCAGATGAAACCCGTGAGCGCCTGGAGCCCAGACCTCCAGTGGCCGAGCATTCCGAGCTTTTAGCAGAAACTGGAAACCTGCAACAGTATATATGCAGATTTAAAATATTAGCGAACGGCATACAATGTTTACGTTTTGAAAAACTGACAGGTAAATGGATAAACAAAATGTGGTCTCTCTGTGCAATGGAACATAATTTAATCATAAAAAAAGGAATGAAATTCTGACACACGCTACAGTATGGATGAACTTTGAAAACATTATGTTCAGTAAAATAAGCCAGACACAACAAGACAAATACTGAATGAGTCCACTTGTATACAGTACCTAAAATAGGCATATTCATTGAGGCAAAAGATATATATTAGGGCTGGGAGAAGGGGGGATGGGAGTCATTGCTTAACGGATGCAGAGTTTCTGTGAGAGTGATACTAACTCTACATTCATCTACAGGTTCTTGGAAACTGAGGCTTTACCACAACAACGTCTAAGAAAACTGATTTTACCACAGGCCAATTGATATAAACAGCATTAAGTTCCTGTGGCATATTTCTGGGTAAAAAAAATACCACCAAATTTCTAAATAAAGACCCCAAAAGACTTCTAATATTAAACACTGAAATAAATGTGAGCTAAACATACATTTAAGAAAGATTAATAACCCTAACTGGTCTGGCTCAGTGGATAGAGCATTGGCCTGCGGACTCAAGGGTCCCAGGTTTGATTCCGGTCAAGGGCATGTACCTTGGTTGTGGGCACATCCCCAGTAGGGGGTGTGCAGGAGGCAGCTGATCGATGTTTTTCTCTCATCCATGTTTCTAACTCTCTATTCCTCTCTGTAAAAAATTCAATAAAATATATTTTTTAAAAAAAGATGAATAAAAACAAGACGATTATTTTCCAACCCGCTTATTCCAGTTCAGGGTCATGAGTGACCGGAGCAAATCCATGCAGGCAGTGGCACTGACCAGACTTGATTTTTTCCTGTCACGTAACAAAATGATATTGAACAGAACGACAGATGTTATTCAAAGACCCGCTGTATTTTGGAAATGGTGCTGGTTGCACAACACTGTCATGTACTTAATGCTGTTCAATTGCATGCTTAAAAAGTTCAAAGGGGAAAATTGTTTTATGTATTTCACCACAAAAAAATCCAGGCCAGTAGGCCCCAGTTCATAAGCTCCACTTCCTCCCAACCCATTTACCTAAAGGCCATGCCTCTCCCACCTCCACCCGGCACCTGGCGGCAGGGCAAGCCAGCTACACACAGAGCCCACATTGGAGGGACAAGTCCCCAGGGCGGGTGCCCTCCGATCACGCCGCTTAAGCACCCTGGACCGGCGTGCTGGCCTCTGCCTGTGCAGCCTGCCCAGCAGTGCCTGCTCAGGGCTGCCCACAACTCGGGTCCTCTTGTTGCCAACTGGGTTCCAAGCAGAAAGCGGAGGGGCTGGTGGAGGGGATGGACACGGTGCTACCTCTCTGAGCCTCAGTTTCCTTTCCAAATGGGTGTCATGCCTTTGTAGGGTGCATACTAGTACAGTACCTGGTATAGACAGTAGGCACTGAAAAAAGTTGATTCCCTATACCCCACTTTCTCAATTCAAAATAGACCTACTGCCTGCACACACATCTTTCCCAGACTGCAACGTGGGCTCCTTGGGATCCCTAGGAGCCGGGGCCAAATCTGAGGAGGCACAGTGAGGGGAGGAGGGAGAGGACGGCACCTGGAAGACGCCGCGTCTGCCCCATTCGCTTCCTTTCTGGGACTCCTATTGGGTGTCAGCCCATGAGAGACATTGGGGACACGGTGGTGAAAAGGTAGGGGTGGCCACTGTCCTGGGGATTCACGCTCTACTAAGCCAGAGATCAAACATAGGGGTTCGGAAGGAGATGGGGCTCCAAAGGGAGCACCGAGGGCTTTGATCCATCCCTTCAACTCCAGCTGTGCTTGGAGCCTTTGCACTGGCTTCTCTCTCTGTCTCTCTATCTCTCTGTCTCTCTCTGTCTCTCTGTCTCTCTCTCTCTCTCTGTCTCTGTCTCTCTCTCTCTCTTTCGTACATTCCTTCTCCTTCAGAGCCTTGCTTAAACATCACCTTCTAGTGAGACCTCCTTGCCTAGCCTCCTGCCCAGTCTGACCCCTCTACCTATGTTTCCTAGAACATTTCTCACGTGTTGTCTCTATGGTCAGACCCGAGCTCGGCAGGACTCTCCAGAAACCACATCCCTCTCTCTCAGTGATGGCGAACCTTTTGAGCTCGGCGTGTC